ATATACACAACAACAACTAGAGCCAAGGAGTAGAAACTAGAAGATTGCTGCTAACTTCTGTAACCAAGATTTATTTAAAATAATCGGTGCCTGAAATGCAAAAGTTGGGAACAATAAAGAAGAACTAGCAATTGGAAACTATAAGCTTTGTGACAGTAATGAGGCTTGAGATGGAATAATGGAATTTTGTATAATCAATGACTTATTTATTGAAAATACCTTTTCCAAAAAGCACAAATGACAACTATACACAGGGACCACACAGAAATCAGATTGATTACATCTGTAGAAAGAATTGTTGGAGAAGCTCAATATCAGTTGTAAAAACTAGGCCAGCTGTTGGCTGTGAAACAGATTATCAGCTACTCATGTGCAAGTTCAAATTAAAGCTATAGAAAATTAAATCAAGAATCAAATTATGACCTTAAGTCTACCCTACCTGAATTTCAAAACCATCTGAAGAACATGCTTGAAACGTTGAACACTTATGAACAAAGACCAGAAGAGCTGTGAAATGATATTGAGGTTATCATCCATAAAGAAAAGAAAAGGTCATTACAAATACTAAGGAGGAAGATAACACCAAATGGATACCAGAAGAAACTGAATATTGAACATAACACCAAGAGGGGAAGAAATGATAAAGTTAAAGAACTAAACAGAAGATTTCAAAGGACAGCTCAAGATGACAAAGCAAAATATTATAATGAAATGTGTAAAGAGCTAGAGTCAGAAAATCAAATGGGAAGAACTTACTAGGTATTTCTCAAGCTGAAGGAAATTAACTAATTTGAATTTCAAGTATAATCATGAAAGATTCTATGAGCAAAATCTTGAATGATCCATGAAGCATCAAAAGAAGGTAGGAGGACCACATAGGGTCACTGTACCAAAAAGAATCGACTGACACAGTAACCATTTCATCAGATAGCATATGATCAAGAACCAATAAATAATAATCATAGTAATGAAGGAATTTTTTTTTGTCTGTCTGTGAACATGAACTCTGAGGGACTTTCCTTCTGGGGAGCAAATTTCAACAGTGCAACATCCTACAGTATGCCACAATAGCTCCTTATTGTTGCAAAGCCTAGCCACATAGTATCACAAGGCCAAGAAACATACCCTACATGAGTAGCCTGGAATTCAGCCGATACACTGAGCTCCAGGTGATTCTTCCTGATAACTTCACTAACAATTCCTATTTTAAGTTTTCTGCATGAGCTTTCAGGTGCTGTACATGTGCAAAAGCAGAAAGAATGACTTTTAAATGTCCTTCAAGAGCAAGTAGCCATGATAGTGTTTGTATGTCTCATGGTGACTAAGCATTTAACAGGATATAGTCTATCCTGAAGGCCAGCTAATTTTTTTAATACCTCCTTTTCTAAAATAACTCCACCTTTCCCTCCTAAAATTGCTAAATAGGCATGAGCCTTTCTCTATGCTTTAACTAACCTACCCTCGTGAAAGCATTTTTCAAAGTGCCAGCCTCCATCTAAAATATTACTAAATAATATTACTAAAAGAAAAAGGAAGGACCTTCTGAGACCAGTGGTGACTATATCAGTAATACCCTCCAAATCATAATAGTCTGAAGTTGCAACTGGTTGAGTGGATGGTGCAGAGCCTATGGTTCACAAAGTTGAATTGGAAGCTGATTAACAGCAGTAACAACTACAACAGCAATAACCACTGTTACTTTTCTGACAGGCTGAGGGAGCTGACTTTAGAAAAATCCAACCTGCTCTGACACTCTCAGAGAGGACTGCTGGGTATTTCTTTTCATTCCACTAACAACCCCACCAGGGGGAAAACACAAAGAGAAGTGTATCTTTCGTTCAGGGTGTGTGTGTTGGTGAGTGTGATAAATGGTGATCCAGATTGTTCCTTAACTTTCTGCCTCTCACAAAAGCTAGACCTAACCTTGGGTTAAAGCCTGGTGGCAAAATTAGTGATTGCTATTTCATAACAAGTTTAAAGCTGTTTCAAAAGTGGTGATACATATGCTGCATTAAAAAACAAGGAACTCATGCAATATTATTCAAAATGGTTGACTCTGGAGAACATTATGCTGAGTGAAATATCTCAGTCACAAAAGGACAAATATTACATGATGCCACTGTTGTAGAATGGGACTGTCCTTGGGGTTGGGGAGAGACTGAGTAAGAAGGGTTCAATAATGTATACTGCACTGAAACAGAGGAGGGAGAAAACTGTTTAAAAGAGATATATAACTAGATATTTCTGTCATCACAGGAGTCTAAAGCGAGGGCTACATGGTGGAGGGGACCTGGGGGAGGGTTTGTAAAACAATGAAAGAATCTTTTCTTTTACTTTTCCATAATTTTTGACTCATGTACTTATAACTTGTTAGTCAAATTTGTGTCTTCTAGGTTGCAACACCCCCATGATACATCTTCAAGGATATGAACATGTACGGCCAAGCACAATCAATAAGAGTGCATCTAAATTCCAAAATCAATCTCCATAATAGTCTATGTGTTTCCTACTGCCAAAGGGGCCCTTTAGAGTAGTGAGAGAAAATCTTCACCCTGAAACCCACAGCGTCCCTTTTCAGCAGGAAGTAGCTAAGAGAACACGCCATCCCCTTTTCCTTATGATTCAGGGTGAAGTCTCTCTCAGGGAGGAGTGATAGGGAATGGCAAAGGACACACTGACAAAGAAGATTAATCAGAACTGGCTTTGACAAGCACTGTGGCATTTGGACAAGAACAAACTGGGAGGAGGGTAGAGAGAATAGTGCAACAATGAATGAATGGAAACCCAAAATCTCTGTAAATGTTTATGAAAATTAATAAAATATAATTATAGAAAAAAAAAGTGGTGATAGACACACTACTTGAGTCTACAATATTGTTTGAAATTGGAGTGTACTTTTTGACAGGACAGGAGGAAAAAGCACTGTGAGTGGGCGGTAGGTAAGGGGTAAGTGGAGGAGAGGTGGGAGAAAAGTCCACACATACCACCTACACTTGAGGGGCCCACATCCCATGGGCCCTGCAGTTCCCTCTGCCTCTGGCTAACATCAGGTAGCAGCTTTTGTACACTTTGTCCCAGAGAAAACGCTAATCACAGCCCACTTGATGATTGCACAGCATGCAAATACAAGCCAAAGATGTTAATTTCTAAGTCCCTCCAGCCTCCCTGAAGGGTCAAAGAAAGGAAGATTCTTCCTTCTGTTTGGTTAAAAATAATTGTTGACACCATCTAATAAAGTTAACATTGCATTGTTTGTTCTCGCCACATGTCAAACTCGCATTGACCCTGAAGAGGAAGCTGTTGCTCAGAAAGGTTAAGTAACTTGCGGGTGTACACAGCCAGGATATAGCAAGGCCAGGAAGTGGCCCCAGGAAATGTAGCTTTGGAGACTGTGCCCTTGGTCACCGTGCTAGGCAGCTTAATTCCAAGTCTATTTTGCCGTACAGGTGATGATCTTTCTCTCACCATATGCCCTACAATAATGAACACATGAGACAAGCAGTGGTCTCATCTGATCTGCATGTCATCCACTCTGATCTTTGTGACAATCCTGCTGGAGAGAACACTCACTCTCCTTTACAGATGAATGAGCAGATACTCCAACCACTCCAACCAGGGCCTTTGCAGTTTCTCTTTAGAAAAACACTCGTGTTCCCACCGCCACCACTTCCCCCTCTACATTCAGCAGCCCTTCCTAATTCATTTTTTCTGTATAGTGCTTATCACTCACGTAATACACAAGATCTATGATTTGCTTTCTTATTGCTTCTCTGTTAATGCATAAATTCAGCTAGGGTGAACATTTTACCTCTTATTTTGGGCTCTCTTCCAAGGGTTTAAGAGCTCTGGTGGCCTAGTGATAAGGAAGTTGAGCTGCTAATCCAAAGGCATGCTTTTCAAATCCATCTGCTGCTCAAAGAGAGAAAGATGGACAATTTCCTTCAGTAAGATTTACAACCTCAGAAAATCTCCTCAAGAGTCAGTTTTGAGTTGGTTCTAACTCAAGGCACCTAACAACATTCCTAGTACTAGGACAGTCCCTGGCCCTTAGGAGGTGGTTGGAGGAGCTTCTTCCATAAATCAGGACATGAAATGCTTTTGAGCAGCAAACAACCTGTGGCTACAGTGTCCAGGCTGTGAGCCACAGCACCTCTGGCTCTACGTGGTATCCAGTAGCCTTTGTTCTGTATCTGCAACTATTTTCTCTTCTGCAAAACTCAGGTGTTGGAAACTGACAGCTCTTTGCTCTTGAGTGATTGGAATCTCCTCCGGAGAGGCCTGTAGAAAGGTAAGAAGCAGTGGATTCCAGTGCCTACAAGGTTGGTAAAAGGTAGGTGGCCAGTCCAGAAGCAGAACCTGAGGAAGGCAGTGAGTATGAGCGAGGCAATCCCCAGAATCTGAATGCAGACCACCCAGGTCCAGGTGTCCGGGTTTTCACAGACTCGCTGCATTCCACCGACCAAGTTACTTGACCTTTCTGAACTTTACTTGGCAGGATCCAAAAGTGGCTATGTAGGCGGCTTCAGAGGAACGCTGGTCAAAAGCCAGCGGCCACCCACTGTCCTGGGTGTCCAGGGAGTCAGAGGAGGAAGTGCAGCACTGTAAGGGGGTGGAGTGGAGGGAGGATCTCAGAGTCCAGAGGGCAGGAGGGTGCTGGAGGAAGGGTGTCGGGGTGTGTCCTAGCCAGGGGCGGGCCTGCAGAGCCAAGAGA